GTAAACAGAACCACAAACTCTGGCAACACCCGACAGCGGCAAAGTAAAATGGGATGGGCAGGGGGGCAGCCGGCAATCCAAGTGGCACCAAAATGTTTGCAACACGCCATTCAAGCAGCGAAAACAACTACAAAAACAAAGAGAACAAGCAACCATGGGACCAAGTGGCCATAAAACCAAAATTGGTTCTGTTTCTGGAAACACACACACAAAATAAATAAAAATCAAAAGAACTTCAAAAGAGTCCTAGCATCAGATCCTGACTGAAAGAAAGAGCCAAAATTATATACACATTTATGTGCCATACGTAATTGAGGAAAATCTTAGAAAAATATTTGACAAAATTACTTGAAAATAATAAATTTTCTCTTTGAGAAAGACATTACCCTTAAAAGTTTATTTTATTGGAGATCACACAAAAAGTACATGCATGCACATACATTGGTACATACATATGTACATATGCGTGAATAGAAAAACATTGGTTAATATTTTTAGAATATATTAAACATTGAGTGGCACAAATTGGGCATCTTCAATTGAACTCTCAAGATTCCAGGAACAGAGAAAATTTTGTATTTTTTTTAAAGTCTCCCAATCATGAACTTCTTCAGCGATAGATAGTGGGGATAATCTTCCTATATATTGAATTCTCTCATTTATGTCTATTTCGATACCTCCACTTCCTACACCCGGATATTTCTCTCTCTCTAAAATCAGACCCAGAGAAAGTTCAGCGGAAGTGCAGTGAACTTTTTGTCCCTGCTTTTGTAGAGGAACTTTATTTGCGTTATCAGCCGGCAACAGCTGCCACTACTCCCAGTCCCCACAACACCCACCCCCCAATCCGTGCTCCTACCCGAACGATTGTGTTGATCTATTGTGTGTCCCTATGTGGCCCACTGTGCGCACAAATGGCATTTGCCTGCTGCTCTGCTCTGCTCTGCCCTAGCACTGCTCTTTGTTTGTGCTTTCTTCTTCTTCTTCCCTATGCTTTTTCCCGTTTCTGGGAGCAGCGTCAGTCTGTTCTGTCCTCTGCCGCTACTGCGCTTTGTGTTTGTGTATTCCCTTTCGCCCTCTGTTGATTCCCTCTGCTGTGCTCGGCTGCCGCTCAGCTGGTGCTGTTCTGTATGCAGAACCGTTGCATTTGTCGCACATTTTCGTTTCCGTTTGATTTGGCAGCTTTATGACAAAAGGGGAGCAAAAGGATTTTCACGCCCCAAAAACAAAAGAAATGCTGGAGCGTTGTACTTCCACTTCCTCATCCTCATCCCCAGCCCACAACCACAGCCACAGCCCATAATAAACAACACCAACTGTTTGGTGGTCGAACGGGAGGCAGACGAATCACGCCTGCCCTCCCCACTTTTGGTTTTAATTGCGTTAAATTTTTGAGTTCTCTCGACTCTCTCTTTGCTTAGAGTATTCTTCCCATTCTGCCCCCCTATCTCTTTCACAATGCATTGCATTGTTTACACTCAATGGCCGAAATGTGGCGAAAAATAAACACACACACACACACACACACACACATGCTCTCTTGTGCACACAAAAGTGTTCGATTGCCCAAAAATGAGTGGAATGGAATGAAAGTGCTGCTGGAGGAGGGGTGCGGATGGGAGGGTGTCGCGACAATGGCATCTCAGCAATTTCTTTCTATCTCTGTGTGTCTCTCTGTCTCCCTCTGGCGCTCTCTAGGCTGGGCAAACAAATTTGAATGTTTATGCTCTCTCTCTCACGTCCCCCTTTATAATCCATCGTAATCGTAATTCCCTTCACACTTACCCACACATGGGTACACATGTACCCAATTCCTGGACGTGGAAGTACTATTATGGAAATCCCTGGATGAGCGGTTTTTATTGTTGCTGCTTGGTGAGAGAGTAGGGGACCCACAAAAGCAGCCACAAGCACTCCAATTCTCGAGAGAGCGAAATAAAGCCATCAACAGTGATGGAAAGTGTCACCAAATGAATTCCAGACTTGGAACGCGTCTACAGGGAAATGGAAGAGCAGCTATGGGAGGCAAGTGATCAAAAAGAAGCAGGGGGAAGAGAGACGGTATAAGAGGAGGGGAAGAAGACGAGAAAGAAGAGAATAACACCGTCGAGGAAGATGCAAATTTGCAGAAGGAGAAGCGGAAGAAGGGCAAGGCCGCCGGATATGAAAAGAAACAGAAGACAGAAAACAAATCGAAAAGGATACGCACAGAAAGAATGAACGAACGCAGCGGAGAAAGAAGGAGGAGCAATCAAAACTCCACTCAAATAAGCTGTCAATTTTAAAGGAATACTGGCACACATGCACACTGTGGAATTCCAGTCTGCAATTGGAGCTGAAACAGCAACAAGTACTATTAAATGTCGGGGGGGATACACTCAAGGGCAGACAGATAGATCTTACTCTGAAACTATTTCCGATCTGAGTTTGTTTTTTTGGTGGCGGGCCCATCAATCGAATGCTCGAACATGCAACTCGTAAAAGTTTATACGAAAAACAGAAACGGAACAGGAACACCAACCAACAAAAAAAAAGAAGATAATCGCGCCAACGAATTTCTCATTTCACATTTTCCAGTTCCATTTTATTTTCATTTATGTTTTTCTAATTCTGTCGATGTCATTGGGCTAATGACCATCTGAATTCCATAGATTTTATCGCATCACTTTATGAGATTGGGATTTATTGGATATGGTAGTTGCACAGCTCATCAAACACTTTCCAGGCAGCCAGAAGACACCCTGGCAGGATCATTTTAGAATATTTATCGAAAGATATGGCGCACTCTTACTATTGAAGCAGGCGGGCTCTTTGGTGCATTTATCCTTTCGCTATCATTCATAAAATCTGCTCTCCACTGCTGGTGAGGGGTGCTTGTTCTTTCCCCTTATCAATTCCCCCATCAATCGCTCAACCCCCCCGTAAACCCTTATTATCGGTGTTGTCTTTACTCATTTTTTATGATGTACGAGGAGCATGTATCTCAAATGTTTTGTCGTTGATTTTATGAGCATTTAATGTGAGCCAGCAACAAGAACAAGTCATAAAAAAAAGAGAGTGGAGTGTGTGGCGTTCGGCAGTGGACTGTGGGGGGTAGCGGAGCGGGGCGTATTTGGTGGGGGGTGGCTGTGGCGGTGGTGGTTTGATTTCAGTGTCATCTGTTGGCCCTCTTTTGTGCTTGATTTTGGGCTCCAGCTGCGGCTTCTCTTCGGCTGCATTTTCGACACTGCACACACCTTTCGCTTAGGCTCAGGCTCAGGCACAGGCTCTCAGGCCCATGTTGTGTGTGTTTGCTCTTTGATTCCGGAATCAATCGCTTTGAGTGATTGTTGTTTCTGTATTTGCTGTTGTTGTTTGTGTAAACAAGTGACATCTGGTCGTTGGCGTGCCTCTGTCCCTTTCCCATCCCCACCCCCAACCATGGCGCTGGAGTTTGACGGATGTTGAGTGCGCCACCGCCTATGTTTCGGGCTCGGATTTGTATCTGGCAATGCCACACAGATATTTTTCTCGATAAAATAACTAATAGATTCAATTCAAAGTTAAAAACCTTTACTTTTACCCAGCTTTATTTGGGATTGTTAATTATCCTTGTTAGCCAGCATTTTCCGGAAAAGTGAGACTTGTTTTCGACAGCAGCAAATCCAAAATATCTATTTTGTATGTTATTAAATTTGGCCATGTATCTGCATGTATTTAGCTTTGTATCTTTAGCTTTAATTTGGCTCTATATTTATGCATCTTTAACTTTCCTTTGGCTTTACTAAGGCATGTACAATGTATCTTTTTATCTTTTGCTTTCCTTTGGCTTTTATATCTATGCATCTCTAGCTTTTCTTTGGCTTTGTGTCTATGCATCTTTTTGTCTGTTTTCGTGGCACAATCAATCGCCAGTGTCTGGCGCCTTATCAACAATCTGCTGCTGCAGCAGCAGAAGCAGCGCAGCATTCCGCAAAGGAAAATGAAGACCAAAGCGTAGTGATGCGGGGCAGGAGGAGGCATGAGGCAGGAGTCAGGGGCAACAACAATGCGGCGCGCATCAGAAATATTTAATTAAATGCTTAATTGCGCCTGCCATGCCATAAATTCATCAAATGCAATTTAAGACCGCGCACACGACGCAACGACACAGATGCCCCACCCTCCCCCCAAAAGATACACAGATACACTCTCGCTCGGATACACAGATACTTTTGTATCTTCTCTCTCTTTTCTGCAATTGCAACTTGAAAAGTTGAGAAGCTTAAGCTGTTTTCTTGTGGGCCATAACTCTCTACTCTACTCCACTCCACTCCACTCCTTACCGATCCCTTCTGATGGCGGCTTTTTGTTGGATCTTTAATCCCTGGTAGATACAAAGATACATAGATCAGAGATAATCCACCATTGTCTATATATATTTCAATAGAAAATAAAAAAAAAAAAGTCAGCGAAGAGTAAGAGAGAAAACAATTTTCCTATAATATTGGAATACTTCCGATCCAAAAATAAATTGGATTAATATTGGAAATCAAACGATCGATCTGCAACTGTTTCATTCACAGCCCATTTCCTGCAAAAACTTTTCGCTCGGGTAACCGATCCGATGACAAATAAATCTTTTTGTGGGGCTCTTCAGATCAGATATATCACCGTCTCAATAAAACAGTTGGGGAAAATGAGAATGAAAATGGAAACGGAAAGCGAGCAATTACTTTTAATTGAAACTGTCAAACAAGAAGCTTCTACACAGACACAGATACAAAGATACACAGATACTTGGATACAACAAGAACCAAAAAGCTAAAGACGAGCACTTTTGAGGGCCGCCGCGACCGTCCGTGCCCACCTTGAGCGGAAATGCGATAACCCTGAATGGGTGAGGAAGCGGGAGGCGGGGCGGTGCCCCAGAAGGAAATCGGAAAATGGGAACGCACATGCTTATAGGGGAAAAAGATGTTCCATTCAACGGGAAATATGTGGAGCGGTGGCCGGAAAATATAGAAATAGGAAATACTTACCGGATAACATAGGCGCCAATGCAATTCCATTGCTCTCGGCCTGCGGATGCTGCTGCAGTTGCTGGGGATGTGCATGTGGATGATGATGATGATGATGGAGCTCCTGCTCCTGTTTGAGGGCCGAGGATTTGCCGGGCACACAACCCCCGATGGGCTTCTTCGATTTCCACAATTTCATTATTTTCTGATCAGTTCTGATCGGGATCAGTATTTAGGGTATTTAAATCTCTCTGCGGGATTTTTAGGTGTTGCCTAGGATGTCAGAATACCATCCAAGAACCGTCTGCCCAGGCAGAACCGAATCTGCACAAGATTCAAAAACATTTTCACACAAAAAAACGTAGAAAAACAGCAAAAAAAAATTCAATGAAAAATTCAGAGCATTCTCGCAATAATAGATGAGATGGGGAGGTGTGGTGTGGCAGACGGGGGAAAAGCGCGCGGTTCGATTTTTAATTTAATTTCAATTCAAAATTTCGAAATTCCATTCGAAGCGAACAACACAACAAAACACGACGCGATGCACGCACCTCGGGCCGAAATTTTTGAATGGCCGAGGAACGAATGGAAGAGGCAGCAACAAAGCGAAAATGCGATCTTGCGCCAGCTCTCGCTCCCTCTCTCAATCTATTCGCAGCGCAGGCGCATGCTCTCTCTCTCTCTGAAGGCCTGTCTAAACGAGGCAGCTGCAGCGGGCTGTTCAAATAATTTTCATTTAAAATTTGGTGTTGGTAATTTATGCAGACGGTTTTATATTCAGAATATATATTTAAAAATATGTAGTTTGATATATATGCAACACTTTCTTGCAACAAACAATACGAATTCTGTCAGCAGCCTGTCAGTTTAGACAGGCCTTAAGAATGTTTTTGCGCTCTCTTGTGCGTAAGTGGTGAGCGCGGCCGCTGACTCACTCACACTTGAGCACCGTCTAAACGAGATAGCAGAAGCTATCTCCTTTGCGCGAAATAGAAGTTTTTATGGAACAAACTTTTTAACGAAACTGATAAAGTATATATGTATACATTAAGCGAAAAGTTTTTTTAAACTATAATTCAAAATTCATATAAATCAATAATGCTTGCTGGCTCACTCTAAACATATTATGCTCAGGAGCATGTTGCCTCGTTTAGCCAGTGCTGAACGCTCTCACATATGCATGTGCACTGTTGTTGCTTTTGTTGCTGCTTCTGTTTTTGGTGGAGTTGCAGGAAGGCAAACGTAACTCGCGGCGTTTGCATGAGAGCTGGCCATTGGGGAAAAGCACTCAAATCAGTGCCTGCCACTCCAACATCCCTTCATCTATTCGCCTAGTATTATGACAATCAGCTGATGATGATGATGGGTGATGAAAATGGGCCTGGGTTTGGCCCCTACTGTCTACGAATGACCTCTATGTGTATGCGCGCTGCCCCCAGGCAGAACCGATGTCGCAAAATTTGCTAATTAGTCACGAAACAGCGTAAATGGTCAGAGGGAGACAGAAACAGGCCCAAAATTGGACAGCACGCGAGCGGATTAGGACGCAGAAGAAGAAACATAAAGGAGAACATCTGCTCTGCTGTTCCAACGAGAGTTCCAACGAGAGTTCCAATGAGAGTTACTTTACCTTACGCTACTCGTAGAAGCAACAGTTGCAGTTACAGTTACATATAAGGTTGTGGGTTATTCTGCTCGTGTGGTGTGAGTGCAGTGACCAGCACTGTTTACACTCGCTTCCAAAATGTATGTCGCCGATCAATCAGTAAATATTAAAAGGGAATTCCTCCACAGCAGATGGCCATGCACAAAAAGCTTTCTTCGAGGTTATTGACATGCAGATGGTTTTTCAATACATTTCCACCCCATTTGGCCCCCGTAAATCTCATGACAAAAGCGAGTACAAATGTTGCCACCTTTAAGGTTAAGGCTGCAGATTTATGGGTGATTCCGTAAATTCTACCAGGAATACCAATTCGTGCCCTTATTGGGGTAAGCCTACCCTGCACCGCAATCCCCTTCCCATGCCCATGGCAAATACAAAATGTATTTTTATGCCTCCCTCTGCCTTCCCTCTTCCGTGTTAAATGCTTTTCTCATCTCTTTCCATCAATGGACACAGTGGGATGGAATGGTAGGAGCGGTGCTCCCCATTTAATGTCTTTAATGACCTCGACTAATGATCGAAGCTGATTGATTCAGCAGCCCCCGTCCAAGGCACTCACCCAAGTTTGTCTGCGTTATTTTTGGCCACCAAGTCCTCAGCCAAAGGTGTCACTGCTGCCAGACATAGACTGTCTACAGACAGAGAGAGACGGAGAGAGCGGTAGAGAGAGATTGATTGTTCTTATGGGAATATTGGCTGAAATTATAAATATATACTACATGTATAATGTAAATAATTCCCATAGTATACGTTCAGGCTGCGCAGCATTATTGATCTGATACTCCCAATGGTATATTTAATTAATTTCACTTTTCTGATTAAGACACCCACCGTGCGCGCATTCTTTTACAAACGTCAGCTAACTGTTTTGCGAATAACATGAAAACATGGAAAGATGACAGCACACACTAGTTGTCTCTTTCTCTCCTTTAAGAAGCTGTGCCAAGGCAGATTAACAGTTAAGCGAACGACAGAACAGACCAGAGAGGAGCAAAGTAAAGTTAATTAGTATTTTTGTCGTCCATTCTTGTGCGTTTTCTCGTGATCATTGATCAGATCTCGTGTGAAATATGTTCGCACCTGGCGTGTGTTTAGTTTTTGTGAGTGTTTTCCTAGTTTTGGCGGTGAATGGCGCCGCTCCTCCACCGCTCTCAGTGAACGTTCATGAAGGCGGTGCCGCTGCCTCCTCGTTGCTTCCCAGTGCGTGTCGCAGCACTGTGAATGGCAGCGTGGAGATCCGTCTGCCCTTTATGGACATGGAGCTGAGCCACGAGTATCCGTTCTATCTTCTGCGCGAACCCATCGAGGATGTGCTGCTGGTGCTGCACGGCTACGAGCTTTTTCAGCTGCACGTGGCCAGCGGTGGGAACAAGCGTCTGGTGCGTCTGGGCGAGCTGGCGGGACGGCTGCGGGCGCTGCCCGCTGCCTCACTGGGCGCCGAGGTGGTGGCCTGGCGTCAGTTCCTGCTGCTGGCCATCGTTCTGCCCGAGACGCTGGAGGTCTACCAGCTGCCCAAGGAGCAGCTCATGGCCGAGGGCACACAGCTGAGCTTTGAGCCCATACAGGAGTTCTCGTTGGCCCACGGCTTCCAGCAGATGCACTTGCTCAGGCATCCGGCTCCGGAGAAGGTGCTGCTTCTGCTCGCCTCCAACTACACGAAATCCCAGGGGCGGATACAGTGAGTGGCATCCAGAGTAACCTGCGCCTTCAGAAATGCATTGTCCCATCCATCTTGTTGCAGAACCTTCGAGTGGCTGGACACGTACTTCAATCCCGTGGAAGATTTATTCCTGCCCGCCATCCGCACGCTCCAGTTGGTGGGCCAACAGCCCCTGTACATCCTCACCGGCCGTTCCGTGCGCGGCTCCCACTCCAAGGTGAGTGTCGGTCGATACCCAGCACAAAATACTACATTTCTACATTTCCAGTTGGTGATCACCGTTTTCGAGCTGGAGCCGGCCACGATGCACCTGCGGACACGTCAGACCCTAACCACTCAGGCCCGGCATGTGCTGACGTTCCGCTTTCTCGAGCGCAACTGCTTCATTGCCTGCTCCTCGGCACCTGATACCAATGTGACTGCCACAGCCACAGCCAGTGCTAGTACTTCTCCGGCCTGCCTTCTCTTCCGCATGGTCGAGGGACAGTTTGTGGTGTATCGCAAGCATGTACAGCGCGATCTGCGCTTCTCCCGCCTGACGGTGGCCCAGCAGGGCCGTCTCCTGATAGGCGCACGCTCCAATGGGGAAGTGCTCGTCTTCAATAGCCCGCGGCTGGACTGCTACAATGGATTTGTTGTGCGTGGGGATGTGCAACCAAGCGGTTTGCTCAGCCATCGCAACGCACAGAACGAGAGCTACTTGTTGCTGGCCTATCGCCGATCCTCCAGTGACTTGGTGCGCATGGTGCAGCTGGGCGGAGAGCCGCAACAGCAGGAGCAGCAGGACAGCAGCAACCGAGTGGGTGCAGAAGATCTAAGCGTTGTGCAGCTGCATCGCCACGAGTTCGAGGACACCCTGTCTAGCCTGAGGGGCCTTCTGTTGCGCCGCAAAGCTTCAATGGAGGAGCTAAGCCGCTGGCAGAAGCTACTGCAACATCACTCGTCGATCCAATTGCAAAAACCCTTTCATTTGGCTGCTAAAGGACGCATCCAAAGGTTGCAGCTGCAGGGCAGCCACCTTCTTAGTCCCACCCAGCTTAAGCAGCGCCTGGAGCAGCTGCGTGAACGATTCGCACCCATACGCCGTAGTCGTAGTCGTAGCCGTGTCCCGCGATCATTTGGCACGGGCAATACCAGCGATGTCATAGAGCTGCTGAAGGTGAAGCGATTGCATGTCAAGAATCTCATCTACCAGGGCCAATTGCTGCCAGGTGAGTGCAGGGGGCAGTGTAGTGCACCTTCTTCTCAGACACTATAGACTATCCATCCGTAGGCCACATACTGGACGCGTCTCTGTTGACCCTCAGGGAACCCTTGCGGACCAAGGCGCTGCACACAGAGCAGCTGCTCACGCCGCAGGACTATCAGAATGACCTCAAAACTGTCGCCCCCTCGAGTGGAGACCCCAAGGCGGATCTGTGGGTGCGTCATTTGCATGTGGATCGCATCAATGGCGTGTCCTGGTTTGAGTTCTACGACTCGTTGTTCCTACGCTCCCGTGACGAACAGTTGGAGGGACGCCTCATCTTTCAGTCGCGTTCGCGAGTGGTGAACCTCCAGGCGACACTGCTCAATGGCCTGGTGGTGGCAAAGCTGTTCAATCTGCGGCGCGATCAGGTGATTAGCTCCAATCTGTTCATGTCCGCCTTCTATGTGTCCCGCCTGGAGGCGGGGCGCGTGAATGGCCTGGACTTTGCCCGGGACATAGTCTTTCGCGGCGGCAACAGCACGTGGATAAAGAGTGAGTGGCCAGGGGGATGCCCAGAGTGGTTATTTTCATTATCCCTTCGATATCTGTCTCTCCCGCAGCGCCCGTTCGCATCTACCAGTTGAGCGTCTCGGGGGACATCCTGGTGGGCAATCAGACAGCCAGCACAGAGCCGTGGATGCAGCCACGACAGACGCAAATGGAGAAGGAGAACCATCGCCTGCAGCAGTACTACACGGGCAGGGTGACCATCAAGGGCTCCCTGACGCTGAACAATGTGAAGAGGGATGCCCAGAGGACGCGCCTGCTGCTGGCCACGGGCCAATCACTGGCCGAGAAGGATCTCCACTCCAACTACCTGCTGGCCCACGCTGCGCAGAATCTAACCCAATTGATGTTTGGCAATGCCAAGGTCACGACACCCTCACTGACCACCAGCCATATACAGGGCCATCCCGTGGCGGAGCATCTGCTGACCAGGGGCAGCCAGGCTGGGCAGGCGAAGGCGGTTGGTAACCGCACGTTGCACATCATCTTCATGAATGTCACCATCGAGGGTGACATTATCTGTCGCGATTACACCTCCCGCCTGGCCTTGATCTCGCGGGAGGCAGTGCGTCATGGCCAGCTGGCGAATATTACAGGGCACAAGCTGTTTGGCGCACCCGTGACCGTGCAGACGCTGCTCAGCCAGCAGCTGAACGGTGTGCCAGTGGACGAACTGGTGCTCAAGTCTCAGACCGTGCGGAATTTCACCGGAGCCAAGGGATTCCAGCGCTTGGTCGTTGGCAAGGATATGGATATTGGGAAAAACCTGAATGCGAGTCGCCTGAATGGACTGGCACTCTCCCAGCTGCTGGGCCACGCCCTCAGCCTGCAGCGGCTCGAGCTGGCTGACCACAGTGCAGGGCCAGTGCAGCTGCAGAGCCTCCACTTTCGACGCCTCAACGGTCTGCCCTTTGACGAGCTGCTGGGCAAGCTTTCGGCCGGCTCCGAGGATGGGAACGCGCCGCAGCTGCTGCTCCGCAAGCAGCTCCTCATCGAGGGGCATGTCCGCTTCGAGCGGGGCCTCCACCTGCAGGCGGTCAATGGGATCCAGTGGGAGGACTATCTCGCCCGCCTGGTACGACCCGATGCCAATGCGGTGCTGGAGGGCCGCAAGACCTTCCTGGCCCCCGTTCAACTGAGCGACGCCCTGCAGTCGCCGCACGTAAATGGCCTGGATCTGAGCAGCCTGCTGGACAACACTCTGCTCCGGACCACGCCGCAGGCCATCACTGGGGCCTACAGCTGCCAGCGCATGAGCGCCAGCAATGTGGATGTGCCCCGGCTGAATGGAGTGGCTGCCCAGCTCTTTGTGGACACGCGTCGGGAGCAGCTGCTGCTCCAGGGCGATCTCACTGTGGACCAGTTGAGTGTCAATGGCAGTCTCGGGTGTCCCAGGGATCTGGGACTGGAAGACCTCGACACTAGACTGGCGGCACTCTGGAAGCAGCCGTGGCGCCGACTGGTGGTGACTGGCGATGCCCTCTGGCAGGAGGAGGAGGAGCAGGAGGGACATGGTAGCCACCTCAACTATCTGCGGGAGCATGCAGTGCGACGGGAGGGAAACCAGACGATTGCCGGGCACGTGCTGTTGCGGCAGCCCCGCCTGGAGAGGCTGCACACCAGGCAGCAGCAGCCGCTGCAGGCGGACCTCAACTTCACCCACCTGGCGGCTGATGCCCTGCTCCGATGGACGGCCAGCAACGAGAGCCAGCTGGTGGAGGCCCCCCAGCAGCTGCTGGGTCCCGTCTGGGCGAAAGGCTTGGACCTGGCTGGCGATGGACACTTTGGGCGGCTGAACGACATCGATTTGGAGCGACTGAATGCCTCCCTCTACCGCCTGTCCCATGGCGGTGCCATTCGTGCCGAGCTTCGCTTTGCGACGCCCCCGCGTCTGGGCAGACTGACGTTAGGTCAGCGCGGCCTGGTGAACGGTGCCCGTATCGAGGAGATCTTTGTGCAGGGCGGCGGCAGGCCCTGGCCTAGGGCCAGCTTCAGGCAGTTGCGAGTGGAGCAGGACCTGCGCCTGGGCAGCGTAAATGAGATGATTCTGGACTACTTTTTCGAGCATCGTGTGCCCCTGCGAGGCCCCACCATGGAGGTGTTTGGTGGCCTGAGCTTCGAGCGACTCATCCTCGAGGGGCGACCCCTGCTGCGGTCCATCAACGGCATTGGGCTGGAGGATGTCGTCTATCGGCATAGCCCGCGACTGCAATCGTTTGGCGGCAGCAAGACCTTTGCGGGCGGCGTGGAGTTCGCGGGGCCCGGCCATGTGATGCACCTGAATGGCAAGGATCTCAGCGAGCGCTATCGCCAGAGCATCTTCAAGGATCGCGACTATAATATCGATAGCCTGTGGCTGGATGAAGCCCGCTTTCCGGCCGGCCTGCTTTATGTGGACGAGAGGCCACCACCTCCGGCGGATTACCTGCTGCGTGAAGCGGCCAGCGAGCGAGAGCCCGAGGCTCTGCAGGCGCTGGAGGATCTGCTGCAAAAGGCCAAGGGCGAGAAGGCCAGCAAGCGGCGACTGCTGTACCTGGACTACGACCAGCAGCCGTTGAAGGCGCTCTGGTTCAAGGCAGCAGCAGCAACAGCAACCAACGAATCCTTTGACCTGCAGGGCAGGCTCAGCCTCGGCCAGCAGTCCTCGGACATCTGCCAGGGTCGCCAGCTAAGGGCCCAGCTCCAGTGGCAGCCCGCGAGGGTCCACCTGGTCAACGTAAGCCTGTCCAGCGAGCTGCTGCGTGTGGACTCGGGCGATATACGCATTAAAGTGCAGAATCACTGCCAGCGACCGGTGAAGCGACTCCGCAGCACCATCAGGATCGAGTGCCGGAATGAGTCCTTCACTTTGGGCATGCGCCAGCCAGTGGAGCACCTGGAGATGCTGGACGAGGCATTGATCCTACTTGGCAGTGGAGTGGAAGTGCGCATTCTGCGGCTGAGCACTAGCAACTGCAGCCTCACCGACTGGCAGTCCCTGGACTCGGTCGATGGCCGCCTGATGAAGATCATTCGCACGGGGAAGCCCCAGAAGCAGCAGCTACTGCTGGCCAGCGGAGTGCACAGCCATCGTCCGGCACTCGCCATCCACTTGAGGGATGCATCCAGTGAGCGCTTCCTGCTCGCGCAGCTCATCGACGGCGATTACGACCAGGCCGAGTTCCACGAGGATCAGCTAATGCTCAGCTGTCGGGGCTGTCGCCACATAGCCATCTTCATGCTCAGCCCCAACGACAACCACACACAGGCAGATGGTCCACGGTTTGTGCCGCTGCAGCAGTTGCGCCTCCAGGAGTCCATTCAGCAGATCTTACCGCTCAGCGTGGGCGGAGAGCGCTACCTGCTGGTGCTCACACAGCCAGAGGCGAAGCCCTTCTACTTGTTCAGCTATGGCCAGGTGGGCGGTTGGCAGCAGCACTCCTACGGCCACAAAGGAGATGGCCAGCAGTGGGCCCTGCCGCTGGTGCAATCCGGCGAGCAGTTGCAACAGAAGGAGGCACCATTGATGCTGCTCTGCGGAGGAGTAGAAGGCGCAGGAGAAGGAGCAGCAGAAGGAGAGTGCACACTGGTCAGAGCTTTGCTGGATTAGGATGGCATTCATATATATATATATTTATTTGTTAATGTATTATTAATTATGATCTGTACAGATTTCTACGAGCTCTACGAGATTATCACATTCCATGTTCATTCTATGTCTAAGTTCTAGGCAGAATCCACTGTATATATCCATTCCAATCCAATCCATTCCATTCCATTCGAATGAGGAATAAATCTAAAAATCATACAGATATCCAGATATCCCGATATGCTGCCGCCCTAGGCGAGCAGCGACTTTCGGCTCACCGTCAGCACATACCCGGTGAAGGAGAGGAACAATAGGACACCCCAGAAGGAGCTGTTCTGATTGGTGCCATCGCCTATTTGTGTGAGGATCCACTCCACATGGCTGGCCACCTCCACGAAGCCACCACCGTCCGCACTGCGCAGACCGAGCAGTTGATTCCGCTCCGTTAGCGTGGCGCCCGCATCCATGAAGAGCTTTCCCCCGGTCGATGACAAACCCTCCGCTTCGACGCAGATTATCTGAGGCTGAGACTGAGGCGGCGGCTGGGACGTCTGGCAGAAAGTCTTTGTGGCATTCAGTGTGAGGAGGTCGTGCAGCTCCCGGCTGTGACCGTCGTAGCCCCAAGTGCTGATCTGCAGGGTTTGGTCCCGCAGCGAACTGGACGGCCGATCTGGATTGGGCAGCAGCAGTGGCTGTATCTGGGGATGATCCACTGGCACATCCCGCTCCAGCATTAGTATGGCGAGGGCCAGTTCCTTTGGTGGCTGGTGGACATGCGTTACGCCCAGGATGAGTCCCAATTCGTTGGGCGCAAAGCGCTGAGGATTGCCGAGCATGACGCGCAGCTCCGACGGATGATAGTGACTCCTGCGGCTATGGCTGAGAGAGGGGATTAGAGATGGAGACAGATCAGTTGGAGTCCCCTCGCTGTGTGGACTCTGTGCGCCGCACTCACCTGTAGAGACAGCTGCTCACGGTGAGCACCACCGAGGGCGCCACCAGGGCACCCGAGCAGATGTGTCCCTTGCCAAAGTAGTCGCGCTCGTGGGCCAGCAGACGGATGGAGGCCTGGTATGAGGCCACCGTTGAACAGGCGGCGCCGGCACTCCTGCCCAGGGCTGTCAGGTCTCCGCCGGTTGGGGCCAAGCCAATGCTGCGCTGCTTGGCGGCCAAGTCGCGATGCGTGAACGCTGCAAAGTTGGTGGAAAGTTCGGGGTGAAGGTTAGCGAGCAGGATGTGATAAGATTCGAGCACGATCGAATACGGATTCTCCCTGGAAACAGTCAGTCACTGGCAACTGCAATTGGCAATGGAGCAGCAGAGCAGAGCAGAGGAGAACGAAACGGATCGGATTCCCCCCTTATCATCGTTATCAGGGGGCAGCGTCGTCGAATGGTCAATGGTCTGATCGGTTCAGTGATATCGGTACTGCCGAATGACTGGCGGACGGTCGAGTGCACACGCGCCCGGCTATACGACGAAGCGGCACGATCAGGCCACACCCCACCTGCCCTCCCCTGCCTGCCGTAAGATATGATAGCAAGACGGAAACTCAGTTGAACACGCTATGGATACACCCAGCCAGCCAGCCAGCCAGCAATTGATCAATTTGGGGGATAATCATGGGAATAAACGTAGAGTTCAATACGCAACAAAATTATTGGTACACATCGGTGGCTATAGCTTTAGCTGTAGCTATATCTACGGGTATATTTGCTCTGCTAATGATACTTTAACTGGCCTTAATCGAGCGCGTGCTTAGGCTTAGATCCCATCAATAATTGAACTTATTTCATGCGCAAATTCAAGCGATGCAAATTATGCATTCCCCTAAGCCGTGCTAAGCCGATCCAACAAACAGATTTTAATCAGTTAGGTAAATCCCATGCTAAATCCCGTGCTGATTAAACTACATTAAAACTACTATATGGATAGCAGTCCCCGAGTGAATGCCGAAGAGTGCCTATTGGATCGCTTGGATGGACTATACTTACTCGTCTGCATCTCAGTGCACAGGAATGCAAAGATCAGGATCTTCATAATCTTTCGATAATGCTCGTTCAGCTGCATGGCAAACACTTTTTCTTCTTAACACACCAAACGCAAAAAAAAAGGAGATAAATATATTTTAATGAACAGAACAGAGGTAGGTTCCAGCTGTGTATTGTGTTGTGCTGGAGGGATGAGGGGATCGTCGTTAAATATTTTGAATGTCGCGTGTAAATTGTCGCGCCCACCTGTCGGGAGCTTCGAACGTTGAATGTGGGCAGCTCAGAGCCGAGCATTTCTTTTTTCTAAATTCGCAACAAATCGTTCCTTAGATAATTCCATAATTTTTTGTTATGGTTTCGTGAGATTGGATTCCGATTGCCCGTGCCGACGTCGTTCGCTCGTTCGCGTTCGTTCGCGTTCGTTTTGTTGTGGCGATAAAGGGGCCCAACGCAATAGCAGCAACATACGACTGCCCCGACCGATCATCAGCCCCACTGGCAATCGAATAACAAACAAACACACGACAGCCGTAGTGCCCCCCGCGACACCCATCGAGGGGGAATCATCGATAAGAGAGAGAGTGAGAGAGATCCATCAAAAGTCAGCAGTCAACGCATTTGTTTATGGATCCATTTCCATTTCCAATTCTATTTGTTTTTCTTTCTTTTGCAATTTATGTTAATGCGATTTAAATGGCAGCAGAGAGTTTCGCAAATTAAATTTTTAAAGCGTTGGAGCTGGGAGCAACAATTTTTGGTGCCCAGCCCCGAAAGCTATCCCCCAAAATTCACATTGCTTTTAAAACTCTCAGACAACGTCCTGCTTGAAAGATCAATTCATCCTTCGATCACTTTTACAAGCGGAAACTTTCAACAATTGGCTGGAGGGTATTACATCGCCTTTGCCCAGGCACAAAACAATCCGTAGCCTAATCAGGAACGGACACAAGATTACATCGATGAAGTGCACTTGATTGGTATCGATGGGACTTACCAGATTGCGAAGCGATTCCAAACGCGATTTTCGAGCAGACAGACGTCAATGGTGTTGTAACAGCCCTAGACCTTGGGACCTGTAATACGGAACAGACAGACAGACAGACCGATAGACCGACAGATAGTTATGAAATTTATTGCATCGATGGAGTGTCACTGAGGCCAATTGGGATATGGATTGAATAATATGCAGGCCTAATGCTCCTTGGCCTTGTCTGCAAGTGCCTTCAGAGGAGAATCACAGACAGAGAGAGAGAGAGAGAGAGAGGAAGAGCGATCGAATCGGCAGACCCTCCGTCCGATCGATCCCCAATAAAGATTAGTAATATCTGAGGCTAGTGCTGGCACTGGCGCTGCGGCTGGCTTTCATTCATTGCGCCATTTATTTTAGTTTTTGTTTAACTTTTTCTGCGTCTCATTTTGCACTATTTTTAGCTGCAGATAACCAAGCGATCAGGCATCGGAAGCTTAGTCGCCAGAATGGAATCTTATTATCTAGATTAACCGATTCCCAAATAAACTAATAAGATCTCCCTCCATCCAACTATTTTGTAGGCATGAGAATTAGATTTTGTCTAGCAAAAGCCTTTAAAATGATATTCTATTTGTCAGTTAATATTTTAATTAACGCAAATCTCCGCGAACCTAGGGGCAGCTGCAGCTGCGCAAGTGGACGTCACAAGCTCCTCCTCTTGCTACTGCATGGACAATTATTCTGCGTGGACTTGAGTGGCCTTCTCCTGCTCTTTGCTCTTTCGGGGCTTCGTCTGTGGCTCTTCCTCCTCACTGTCCGTGGCGATGATGCTAGATGTCTTCTTCTTAGCTTGGTCCTGGGGGCCATATACTCCTCCTCCTCGTCATCGCTGGTCTGCAATCGCTGCCTGCTGCTTTTGAACGCCAGCTCGAGTCCTTTGCCACCAAAATTTGTTGAAAGTCACGTGAAAAGCTGATGGTGTGAAACACGGCTAAATTGGTTTCTGAATTGGATTCCCTGGTGGAAGTTCTAAGTTAAGCGCGACCGTCAGGTGTCGCCACAGACACGCGAATTTAAGTTACATTTTTCTTATGGTGTACTTTTTTTTTGCAGTATTTTTGTTCTGTTTTTCAAGTAAAATTTTTGTAATTTTCATATGGTATTTTTTCAACATTTAATAGGGAAAAAAACAACAAAAATTAAAAGCTCTTCTTAAATTTTTAACAGTTAAATATTTAATTAATGCCAGCTAAATTAAAAAAAAAATCAAAACAATTTTAAAATGTAATTTTTACTGTAAAACTGTGGAAAAAAAGATTTGTTTAAGAAAAAAAAAGAAAGTCCGTGCACGCTTCGAACCTCTCGACTTAACCCACCGAACCACGCTCTGCTTGATTTTGCTGTGCATAATGCAGCATTTATTCCAAAATGGCGCAAATAAAAAGAATTTCTTTAGAAAAAAATGTACATAAATAAAATATAAAAAATGAACACCCACTCTGGAAGCCAATTCTGGGTCCTGTGATACGTACCACTTTTAATGATAAAATGACAAAGCTGCCTTTGCCTCGAAAAGAAGCCACCGCTGCCGGAAAGGTAGATCACAGCGCGGATTCAATGAGTTTTCTTGCTTCCTGCTAGTTGCTGTGCAAACATCTTTATTGATTCTCGTGGCTCAGGTTAAATGTATATTTGTTAATGTATTTATTTCGATTTTGACTAGTTGCGATCCAAAATCCATTTCGACGGCCTGCAATAATAAATAAATAATCGGTGTAACACAGTTCCCCTTTCTTGAACCGACGGCGTATGTGAATGCCCGGCTGGATATGTCTTAGCACAAACTTTGTCTGGACCAGGTGATGGCGTCCCATTTCAATAGGATTTAATTTTGATTCCTTGGAATTTTTGCCAATGGCTGCCAGACGCGTCGATAAATCTAATGAATGCAACCATGTGACGCGTGCAGACTATCGATATGAAAGCTATCGTGCAGAAACTATTGACGGCTACGAAGTGAAGTTGGCTGCGACACACCGAAGCGAAGCAGCAAAGATTCTTAAGATATATTTCGTATACGCTATGGCCCCGGGCCGGATAGCAGTACTATTGCACTGCTGCCATTATAAAATATATGTCAAATAGTACAAAATGAATCCACTGAAACAGAATCTCCTGCCCGGGGTGGGCGCCACAGGCCAGTGGCTTGGCGATATTCCCAAAGTAGTCGTCCAGTTGGGTGGGGTTGTCCAGACTGTCATTTATCCATTGGGCATAGTACAGCACATCCGTGAAGATGCCGGGATGGTGGGGCGTGTCGCATCTAACGCCCCAAGACACGATGCCCGCCAGCTGACCCTCGCACACCAGCGAACCGCCCGCGTCCCCGGTACAGTAGCCGCGTTTCAACTTGCCCAATTGATTGGCACACAGCATGCCCGGCTGCACGAAAAACTCCTGCGTCGTCTGCTTGATGAGGCATATGCGGGGCCCAATGATTGGTATGCCTACGGACACGGCCACCGCAGAACTAAAGCCGCTTGGGCTGCGGCCCCAGCCGGACATTTGGCATTCGGTGGCACGTTTAAAGGGTCGATCGGCGAGCTCTATTGGCTTCACCACAGCGTGCTGCTGGGCCACGGATCTCGTGAGGATGAGCACGGCCAAGTCCATTTCGTGGAATTTCACATCGAACTTGTCCTGCATTAGGACGCGATGTTTCAGCCCAAAGATCATGGTGTTGGGGCTGCCCGCGAAGCGGTGGGGCGTGCCCAGCACCACCACAAACTCGGAAATGGGCAGAAAGCTGCCATCAAAGATCTCCCGGCTGGAACAACAACCAGAGATAGAGCGCATATTCAGCTATTCAGCTCAACGCCAGTTCGACTTACTCCACAAAGCATTGGGCGGCGGTCAGCACTGCATTGACGCGGATCAGGGAGCCTGCACAGATGTGGCCAGCCCCAAATCGTCTGCGCTCCATTTTCAGCATTCGCAGCGAGGCCAGATGACCGATCGATGCGGCAGCTGTCGCTCTTGGAAATGGTTCCTCCTCCTCAAATTGTTCTTCCTCAGTGCCAATGCTGCTCGCTGGGAGCATCACTAGCCAGAGCAGCAACAGAAGCTGCATGGGGCACGGGGCAGTATTGTTGCAGGGACGTATTTGAATTGAGTGAAATTGCCAAGCCACCTGCCACTATCTCCCCCCTTTCAATTAATACGAAACCGAAACCAACTGAAACTCCCACTATGCCCAGACGCCAGCTGCAGCTGCAGGGAGTTTTTTTATCAGAGACATTTCCTTAAGTAATAGATACAAATTTTATTTGCTACTAAAAGAGAGAGAAAGCGGGCGAGAGAACACTAGAGATGGCTTGAAAATAACCTCATGGAGAGGAGGCCAGGCAGGAGGAGGCTAAGGACGCCAGCGAGGGCTGCCTTGGCACCACCGCCATCTCCATCTCCACTTCCCTCACCTTCACCGTCACCACTTCCCTCGCCACTGCCCTCGCCACTACCCTCCCCACTCGCCTCCCCCTCCTCGCCGATCTGCTCCAGTATCCAGTCGTGGTAGTAGGAGACCTCCGTGTAGACGCCCGGCAAATTGGGCTCGGCACAGCCAATGCCCCAGGATACGATGCCGGCCAGCTGGCTGCGGCAGACGAGTGGACCCCCCGAATCGCCACTGCAGGCATCCCGTTCGCCCTGCTCCAGATAGCCGGCACACACCATGCCGGGCTTGATCAGGTGCCCCAGATCGCTGTCGTTGATGCACACCGCCTCACTGATCATGGGCACATCGACGGTCATGAGGTAGTCCGAGGTGTAGCCAGCCTCCGTGTAGCCCCAGCCCGTCACCTGGCAAACGGTGTCCGCTGGCACTGCCAGCGCGGTGATATCGATGGGCCGTATGGTGGGATGATTGCTCGGCACTGAGTCGTTCAGCCGCAGCAGGGCAATGTCCCTGTCGTAGGTGCTCAGATCAAACTTGTCCAGCTGCAGGACGAGCAGATCAATCTCGAAGGTCAGCGAGTTGGTGCGATTGAAGCGATCCACGTTGCCCATCACCACAATGAACTTCTCCTTGGCCACGAAGGTGCCGTCGTAGATCTCCTGACTGCAAACACACAAAATAAAAAGTACGATTAGGAGGGGGTGAGGCGTGGGGCAGGGGCAGGAGCCACACTCACTCCACAAAGCAATGGGCGGCAGTGAGCACCCAGTTGTGACGGATCAGAGCTCCACCACAGATGTGACCCGTGCCAAAGTAGTAGCCATCGTTGAGGGCCCTCCTCAGTCCCACCTGATGCCTGGTGGCCTCCATGGTGGCCTCAGTGCCATTGATAATCCTGCCCGGATCCACATCGAAGCGAGGACGAATCGCTCTAGCCTCGCCAGCCGTTGGCACAGAGCCACCTGTGGGATTAGGAGTTGGTTTCAGTTGCACATGGAATGCGGATTGAACGAACCATTTAGGGCCGTGGGCAGCAGGAAGATGATGGCCAATGTCGTCGCCCAGAGTTGTATCGATATCGGAACCATTTTGCGTTGCTAGCTGCCCGACGTGGCAATCCAAACTAATGGCTGGGCCAGGGCGGAACCGGACCCCAACCGCGAACCCCGAACAGCAAAACAGCGACAAAAACGGATCGGATTGTAGCCGATCGACAACGACGATAGGCCATCGATAGGCTGATATATGCGTCAAATAAATCTGTTGCTACTACCACATACATGAGCATCATAATCTAATCAACCAACGCCCCAACGTCCCAACACCCCAACCCTTCGGGGGCCAGTCCAGAGCGCCTGTCAGTAGTCATCGTTGGCGCTCCCGAAGACATTCCTTTTCCATTTGTGCTGCCATCCATTCGTCTTTTGTTTTTGTTTTTTTTTTTTTGAGGGGGCTGGCTGCCTTCCTTGAGTGGCTGCTACTCTGGATGTACTTTGGATTTTCCGTAGCGCAATCTTTGGGCTTACCCCAGATTTATGACACACTTCAAAGTGGAAAAGGAAGTTACAATGCGATTTTCTGGCGTCAAAAAGCCTCTCCAAACATTTGCGATTCATAAATTCTCGATTTCTGCGGGGAAAGTTAAACCGTTTCTATTTTCTATTATCAATTTTCAATTAGAACTCCGCCAACTAATTGTGTGCCATATACTCATGTTAGAGTTAAATAAATTATTTACCTTTACGTAACTGGGCGAGGCAAGCAAAACAATTTATTTGGAATATCAATAACAAATATATATGTATGTAGAAAATATATATATATACACAAAATATATATATATATACATAAGTACTAAAGATATTTTGAAGAGGTTCGAGGCTCGGCAATTGCAACAATCAAAAATCCAAAAGGAGGTTTGTACTTTTCGGTTCATTCTCGTATTGTCTGTACATATTTATGATCCAATTATGATTTGATTTGGCATATCATCAGATAACAATCAGATATATTGAATGCGCTCTTATCCGTTAATAAATATTATCTATTGGAACCCACAGAATCGAGCAGTTAAAACGATATTTGTTGGGTCTTGGAGGTAGGTGTAGGTCGTTGGGTTTTCTCGGTCTTTGATCTTGAGGGGCAGGCGCAACACTCCCAGTCCCAGTCCCACTCCCTGTCCCAGTCCTTGTGGCTGATTAAAATTGGTTATTGTGTCACCCTTTTAGTCATACGGCAATTCGATTTCTGTATCTATGGTTGGGCAATCGATACACAAGTGCGTATGCGGAGATGATTAGATTATTAAATGACAGAAGAGACAAGCTGAATGATGATTTTATTATTGCTGTCCAACATTCCATATCTTGGCCCGCACATCATCAGCCCCAGTTCCAGTTCAAGTTCCAGCCCCCGCTCCAGCTCCCGCCCAGAGCGATAAGCAGAAATGCCAAGGCCAGCCACCAGGTACGTTGGGCACCGCTGGCCAGATCCGCCGAGCCCACCACCGTGTATTTGGAGTAGTCGAGCGTGGCGTTTACCATTTGGATCCAATCAACAAAGTGCGAGACATTGGTATAGACGCCGGGAAAGCCGGGATCCGCACAGCCCACGCCCCACGAGATGATGCCCGCCAGCTGGCCGTCGCAGATTAGGGGACCGCCAGAGTCACCCTGACAGGCATCGATGCCGCCCTGCATGAAGCCAGCGCACAGCTGGGACACTGGCAGCATGTAGATGGCACGGCAGAGGCTCTTGTTCAGGATGGGCACCGGCGCCTGCTGCAGCGATGCCGATTTGCCCACCTTCGGGAAGAGATTCGCAGCTGGGAGTGAGGAAGCGAGCAAATGCGAAGGGTATGAGGGTAACGCACCATTGTGATCTTACCCCAGCCATTGATCAGGCACGTGGTGCCCTCAGTCTGGGCCTTGGTGGCCAGCGGAATGGCTCGCACGGCCCTCGACTGCCACGACACGTAGCCGTTGAGGAAGAGCAGCGCGATGTCGTTCTCCAGCGAGGAGGCATTGTAGGCGCTGTGGGCGATGATTTGCTGCACCAGATACTCCTTGGTGTGCCTGTCGGCCTGGTCGATTTGTGTGCTGCCCGCCACCACCACGAACATGGTCGGATCGTGATACCTCACCGGGTTGTGTGTGTTGTTTCTATAATGGGAGGAGGTAAGGAGGTAAGGTGCACGCACACACGAGGAGCAGAAGGTTGTACCCACACGGCATAGCAGTGGGCCGCCGAGCAGGCCACACGCTGCGAGATCAATGCCCCGCCACAGATGAGGCCCAATCCGTATGCCCTTTCGTGCATCGTCCGGCGACGCACCGACAGCTGGAACGGGACCTGTTCGATCGTTATCGAATAGCCGCCCACCACCTTCGGCAGCATCACGAACTTGCCTGCATCGGAGAGCACGTTTAGAGTTGTTGTGGCGGAGGAGGAGGCTGTTGTGCCCTGGCGGAGAGAGGGAAACAACTCACGATGCCCGTTGGCCGCCAATGTCCACGATAGAAGCATCTGCAAGAGCACCTGCAGCTGCCACGGTGTGTCCATCGTAATAATTCCATACAAATCTTCACGGCACCCTGTTTTTGTTTTGTTTGTTTAGCTCAACTAAAGCTCAATAACAAAACGTAAACAAAGTTTTGCCTTTCAAGCTGCCGGGTAGCTGATGGATGTATCGATGTTCGTACGACCTATCGATATACTAAACAGAGTGAAGTGAGCTCTCCAATTCAATTAAATTCATTTATTTTCCTACATACATACATAAATAAGCGTGTTAATTCTGCTATCCCAGTCACGTTACCGCAATAATCCAGCGGCCACTACACAGATGGCGGACAGCAGCGCAAAGGCGAAACCTGCGCTGTGACCGTGGCCCACGCCGCCATTGCGGTAAATCGAGTAGTTGAGCGAATTGTTCTGCTGGACAATCCAGCCTTGGAAATAGGACACATTGGTGTAGACGCCGGGCGCATTGGGCTTGGCACAGCCATCGCCATAGGACACGAGACCGGACAGCCGATTATTGCACATTAGCGGTCCCCCGGAGTCGCCCTGGCACGCATCGATGCCGCCGCTCGTGTAGCCGGCGCAGATCTGTGATCTGGGCACGTACGGGGGGTAGGCCAAATAGCAGGTCGGATAACTGACCGTCGGCACTGTGGCCGTCTGCAGCGTATTGCTGCTGGAGCCGCCCTGCGACGAAAAAATCCGGATAATGAAAAATGTACAAAACTGTGATGGTGAGGGTGATGGTGAAACCCACAGAGATGAGTACTCCCCAGCCGGTGATCACACACGCGGTGGCGACATCCAGCGACTGATTGTTCAGGGCCAGGGCCTTCGCTGTCGGCCACGTCCAGGGTACGTAGCCATTGATGAACATCAGCGCAATGTCGTTGGTCAGCGAGCCGTGGTCGTAGCTGCTGTGAACGATCAGCTGCTGCACATAATACACCAGTGTCTCATTGGTTTTGCTTGCCAGATAGGTGCCGCCCATGACTAGAACGTACTCGCCGGCCGCTCGATATTGACTGGTGTCCGAGCTGTAAACAGAAGAACAAAAAACTCCGCATTAAAAGCTGTACACCAATTGGCGGGAGGTGCGAGTCCAAAAATGGGGTCCTACTTGTAGCAGCAGTGGGCAGCCGTGGCCACCAGGCGCTGGGAGATGAGCACGCCGCCGCACATGTGACCCGATCCGAATTTGCGACGATCCCTGGACGTCAGACGCACCGAGACTGTGTACGGGGCTGCAGTAATGTCAATGGCCGTTCCACCCACAACCTTTGGCTGCAGCAGTTGGGTGGAGTTGCTGCCTGTTATTGCATGAGAAGGAAGAAAGCAAGGAATAAAATATCTAATACTTAATTGGTTATCTGTGCTCGGTTTGAGAACCAATTTCAGCTGGGGAAAAAGCTGCCAATAATATTCCATTTAAGATACCAAACTGTTATCGCAATTGCCATTAATATGGAATATGTTTACAGGCATTCAAGGCAATCAAGAGCATTGGAAATCGTTGAGCTCAATAGGAAAAAAAAACCACAAACCAAAATTTTAAATAATCCAAAATTGCAATTTCCGAATCGCTTTGGCTTTGGGAGGACTCGGACTGCCTTTTGATGTGACTTTTGCTGTTGAAATTCGAAATGTTATAATTGTGGGGTAATGACATTCCATTATGCATATATCCCCACATTCAAATCGGCTTGATATATTTTTCAATATACTAGAAACCGTATGAACATTTTTTTTCTGCACACACACATTTTGATGTATCATTTGTAAATGTTCGAACACACAGCCATCAATGGACCCGATGGCCCGTGCTCGGCAGTCACTATCAGATTGATAAGGAAACAAAAACTCCGTGACTCACTTTCAGTGGAGGCAACCGTGGGGCCAAGCAGCACTACCACCGCCGCCACTATGGCACTGAACCACAGGGGATGCATTTGACACAACAAAAACAAAAGAAGAACAATCAAAAAAATATTTATAAGTGAACAGCGAACGCGGGAAGATCCGTTTCGTCCGTTTTGGACTCGTTTGCCGATGCAGAACCGTTCGAAGTTTTAATTTAAGCGCAATTATCGACCGAATTTCGTGAATCGAGCGACTGCAATGAGCTTCGCGGAGCCGGAACCGTACCCGGCTACGCTAGGCTAGTTCGAAATCAGACGATATTGTTTTATATACGAGTACGAGTACCTGGAAATACAATAGAAGTAGGCGGGCGGGCGGGCAAGGTTGTGGTTACCCCCATCGTCCCCTGGGCTTTATCTTATCACAAACTGTGCGTAAATTGAATGTTGCCAAAGCCGGAGCAGCCCATCGACAACCGCTCGATAGGGCGTCATAAACAAAACCCAGCCAAAATCAGAGCAAAATTCTCATTTGATTTCGATGGCACCAACCTATTGTACCCACCCACATACCTGCAGACATATGTATGTACATAGATTACCCCCCAAAGAGCCAATCGCCAGTGTTAGCAGCCTTCACGTAGATCCCTGAATACTCAGGTGTTGCCCCCTAAACAGGCATCAGGCATGCCCCCGCTGCGAGGCAGGAGAAAAGGGAAAGGGGGAAACATTTCAACGAGTTTAGCAATCCCACAGTGATGCCGTGACTAATCGTTTATGGATGAGTAAGATTGGGCTTTTGCCAGACCAGACCAGCCCAGCCCAGAACCATAATAGATATGGCCCGTTTGCGATCGGCTGGCGGCGATAAAAGTTATACCATCAAAGCGAAGAGAATTCAAAATAATATTGTTCTATAAAGTCTCATAGATTGCACCTGGTGGCCTACACAGCTCCGAGCTGGCACCTTTCAATTGCCACACTGGAGCCTTGCTAGGGCATGCCTGATGGGCTGACCATAGACTACAGCGAAGACAATTGATGTGCTACATGTACATATTTGCATACACATTTAGTACAAGCTTTACTTCTGTTTAAGGTACATAGATTTAAATATTAATCCTGATTTTGTTTACTCCTTTGCTACAACAGGTTTCGGGTCTTTTCCATCTCCATGTCTTCCCACGGAAGCTAATACTGAATGCAATGCAGTGGGTGCGGCATTCACGCACACGGTTCCTTCACGGTTTCCTTCTGCCACTGCAATAGGAACTTCAATGGCTGCGGGGGATCCATTCTCGTGCGATTACCTTGTACTTTTTGAGCAGAATCTTTAATTTCTAATATTTTTGCAACAAGAGTTGCAAAGTCTCCTGCTATAGTTTTGGAAAAGCTTTAGCGGGATCTACGCGTTTCTTATTTATACTTTGTGCTTTTACAACAGGAGATTCATTTCCGCTTTGTGTTTGCTGCTGCTCCTGCCTTAATCACTGGAAACCTTCTGCTATATCCTCTTGAGAATCTCTAAAAATCTTAATCTTAAAAAAGCACACGGCGCTTTGTTCCTGCTCTAAGTTTTGAAATCAATCTATGGCGCCAACAATATTATCGATTGCTAAATATTTGGCCGAACATCGACTGTTGCTGCCCACCATCGATAGTACTGAACTGAAATTGAACATTCAAATTGTAAATTTCGTACAATCCATTAATGCAATGTTTTTCGTGTTCAGAAGAAGCAATGGTTTCGAAGAAGGTTTATGGTACAATCATATAAAAATTATATGCTTGAAATAATTCATTTTTGTTTTTGCTGTGCAGCTTAAAATATTGTCGATAGTATTGACCCGACCATCGATAAAATATATTTGCAGACGATACTTTTGTGCGATAAACAGTAATGTCAATCAAGTACAGTTAAGCCCCGCGATAAACCAAAAATACACTCGTTCGGTATGGCATTTAGAAATAATTGAAGTTGATGTTGTTTTATTTCGTTTCAAACATATTTCTTGTATGTAATACATATTGTTTGTTGTTGTTGCTGTTGCTCTTGTTTTTATGTGTGTTTGTTAACTTATAAAAAAATTGTCCATACTGTTGGCGGGGATTCCCCCGTTTTGTCAGTTGTTATTATTAAGTTAAATGATTAACTAGATTTCATAGTTTTGTATTATCAGAATTTCACTACCACAAAAAAGAAACACGCTGCTTAACGCAGCTTATAATTCACATTGAATGCTGATTAATACCGTTTCTAGTACAGCATCCGCCATGCCTGTACTTTACATTAGCTAATATGCATACATTACATACGTATATGTATATGTGTGTGTGTGCATGTATATATATATATATATATATATATCGATTTAGTTTCATAATATATGGTTAATTATTATATTAAATTAAGTTCCCCTCCCCCCCTAGCAGACACCTTAAATCTGGTCTGTTATTGGTTTTAACACGAAGACAAAAAAAAATAACTAAAAACTAAAAAAATTAATGTGGGATTTCTGCTTTTGTCCCGCTTTTCATCTGCTTTTAACTAGCCTCGTGATCATTTTGTCTTTTTACCGCATCTTCTTCCCTCTCCTAAATCAGCCTGTGGGCGGCGCTTCAGATTTCGGGACTTTTTCGTTGGTTTTCCTGCTGCTGTCGCTGCTGTGGCTGCTGTTAATGGTGGCTCTCAAATCTGCGGACGAGTCCAGAGCTCACTCAAATCCTTCTTTAGCTTTCCCAGTTCTGAAAAACAAATACACATTGGATTGAGTGAGTGCTTGGGGAGAGCATTGCTAGACTGTCTGTCTTACCACCCAACTGTGAGGGCTGTGCGGCGCCAGCGCGTAGGCTGAGATCGAAGCGAGGCTGACTGACGGCCAACTGGCCGCCAACAGCTGATGGCGCTGGCCCAAAGTTGCGATAGTTCGTGAAGCTGTGTGGAAGAGTGGAGAGTAGTGCCGGACTAGGATGACATGGCTGGTGGTGGAGATGGTGGTGGGCGTCTGCTCACCTGTAGGGATGCTTGAGGCAGCCATAGACCTCGCGATAGCGCCCGTACAGTGTGCCATAGGAAACGCCCAAAATGCGGGCGGCCTTCTTCATCTCAAGTCTTTTGTTCTTGATGGCATCCAGCACCTGGAATGCAGCACATGAGAAGAAATGCACTCAGGCGCACTCAATATATAAGTGAGGTTATGCGGAGACTTACGCGCTTGGTGAACGGCTCCTCCCAGAACTGCGGACGACGTCCCTTGGCCAAGTAGTCGTCCATCTTGATCACGTCCTGCCATTCCGACAGCTCCTCGTTGGTCAGACGCAGCTCGGCCGCGTCGTAGTCCTCCAGTTCCCCCTGCTCGCCGACCTGGCTGTGGCTTCCATTGCTGGCATTGGCATTGGCACTGGCGCTGGCACTGGCGGCAACCGCAGCAGCTGCTGCCACGGCCACGGCAGCGGTGGCCGCTGCTGCACTGGCCACACTCGGTGAAAATTCGTGGGGCATCAGCAGGCCATGCTCGTGGAGCAAATAGCCGCCAGTGCCTGCGGAGGCACTGCCCCCCACACCCGATTCGTACTTGCGGCCGAAGCTGGCGGGCACCAGCGCTGACGGGCAGCGGGCAGCGGGCGACTCGGCCCGATTGGCCACCAGATGCTCGTTCTCGATCTCTTCCACGGGCTGCGGCAGGGCACTGGCACTCTGGCCCTGGGCTGATTCCTCGGCGTGACGCTTCTCGGAGGACTTCTCGTGCTCTCCGCCGCCGTAGTGGCGTCGGGCGTGGCGCAGCTTGCCGTGTCGCTCCCGCCGCTCGCCAATCTTCTCCAGCTTCTTGGAGGCCGCTCCCACTGTGGAGGTGCCCAGCACCTGCAGATCCGCCTCATTTCGGGCCTCGAGCACATGCTTGGCCGCCTCGCTGGCATCGCTGGGCTTGGGCGTGGAGCTGCCGCGTTGAATGCCATTGGCCCTGTCGGCTGCATCCGAGTCCTGCTCAGAGCCAGCCTGGAGCTGCTGCTGCTGCTGCTGTTGCTGTTGCTGATGATGGCGGTGGCGCTGTCGCTGCTTGGGCAGGAGGCTGGAGGTGGAGGCAGGCGGGGAGGCCAGCGTACTGGAATGTGGGGCAAGCTGTTGTGGCGGCTCCTCGGCAAAGTGACGGGCCGACTCCAAATATGCTCGCTGGGCGGGCTCCAGGCTGGCAGCATAGTGGACCAGCTTGCGGCTAATCCGCGCACGAAAGAGAAGGAGTAAGGAGGCAAATTAGCAGGTGGCCCGGTGGGTGGGGGATCTCTGAGGTCTGAGTGGCTTACACATTGAATACATCGTAGGCATCGTCAAGTGGGGGACGTCCCCGTTTGCGCTTCGGTCCCATAAAGTGTTCCACGGGTGCAACGGCCGCCTGCAGCTCGCTACTGGCTCCTGTTCCTCCACCTGTTCCCGGCTGTGGGGTCTGCGGAGGCATACGGCCAAGCACACTCTCCATGGAGGGCTCCCGATCGTGATCCCTCTCTGATGTGGCACCCATTTGGAGCGCTGCCTGCGGCTGTTGCTGCTGCTGTTGCTGTTGCTGCTGCTGCTGCTGGTGATGCAGCATGTCCTGGGCATAGCTCTCGGCCAGGCTGCGCGGCGGCGAGAGAAACACGGCCGCGGGTATGGGTGGCGGCGGACCATCCTCGTCGTCGCGCCAACTCACCTCGGCCAGACCCTTGATCTTCAGTTCATCGGCAGTCCTCAGCAGCGACGGTAGGCTGGCCTAAACCGAAACAGAAACAGTGTGATGAGCATGAGCAGGGTGGCAGGGGGGGACTCAGTGTGTTCAGTGGCAGTATACTCACGTGCTCCACATTGATCTCCCCCTTGTACATGAACTCAATGAGGCACTTGACCTCGGCAAAGGTCACATCCTTCATGATAATGATGGGATCCCGCTCGCTGGCATAGCTCGTGAGCACCGAATCAAAGAAGGTGCTGCAGGCGCACAGCACCACGCGATGGGCGCGTATCATTTGTCCCTCGCAGGCCAGGGTCACATCGCAGAAGCAGCCGCGATCCAGCAGCTGCGAGAACATCATCTGCAGGTTGCTGTGGTGGTACTTCCAGCGCAGGCAGTACTGCTGCGGCTGCATGGTGAGGCCGAACTGCTGCTGCTGCTGCTGCTGTTGCTGCTGCTGTTGCTGCTGCTGTTGCTTCTGTTCCTGTTGCTGGCGACGA